CAAAAAAAAAAAAAAAAAAAGGTCAAAACTATAGAACCGTAATGATTACTTTTAACTTAAAAAAATGTTTCAAGATAGAAACATCTCTAGTCTACGGACATTCGTAGAATACAGGAAAATCACATCTGATTCCAAGAGATCAGAATAGTGATCGATCTTTCCTTTCGATGTCCACTGTTCACAATAATGAACGCAAAGGCCAGTGAATTAACAAGAGAAATTAATGTAACAACTGCAGTGAGGTACTTACGTAGCTAAAGTGACTTAATTTAAATTTTAATTTAAAACGTGAGACATCGCGCGAGCACATTCCACATAAAAACATGCTTGTTACCCGACCTTCAACATTCCAAGTTCGAACAGTAATCAGATCGCAAACAATATTAAAAAGCGAATAAAATTCGTTTCGTTGCAAAAGTTCTGTTTCTTTTTTTTCTCTCTCTCTCTTTCTTTTATTTTTTATTTTTTTTTTTTCGTTAACATTCAACTAAATCAGTGCTTACATGTCCTAATATTTGTATCTCACTCTATTCTCTGAGTATATCGTTCAACTATTCATCGTAATACCTCCAATATGTATAATACGAATATATTTATAATTTTACTGTTTTGTTCATTGAGTGCCTAACGTTATCCTACATTTGTAAATATCATTATTTTTATGTATTGTATAACAAAACAAAAAGACCACAAGATATTTGTTGGTCTCTGATCTGGCCAAAACAAGAGCCTAGGAGTAAATTGTTGAAAATATGAATTTTTTGAGTATTTTGTTTTTCCTCTCCTTTCATATATAAGATATAGATAACTTTTCCATATAATGTGCGATTAGTAATTATATATACTATTTCATTCTAAGAATAGTTATAACTATTTCATTCTAATAGTTTTAATGAAATAAAGTAGATATTTTTAAAATAGAGTATATAAAGTTTTTTCAAATTTATAATTCTGTACGTTGAAGCAATTATAAATTTTAATTATTTTCATGTTCAGTACTGCCCTCTATATGCTGAGACGCGCTTATTTTCTGCAGGGTGTACAATTTTTAATATAAACTTGTATACTTATATAAAAATTAATATAAAGAAATAAAAATTATGAATTAAATGAATAATTTAAATTAGAAAACGTAATATTTTTTCATCTAATTTACATTTATACGCGTATATTATATTTTATAAAAATTATCCGTAATTTTATCTAGGGATTTTAATATTAGATTGGCGGCGCCACATGTATATGTGATGTAGAAATAACGTTCCCGCGCAAACGAGCGCCGACCTAACTGTCGCCGCCAAAATATCGGATGTACATACGCATAACCGTCGTCGAATAGGGTAGAGATTCATTCGCTGTTTGGTATTACGAGGAGAAGCATCGTTCATTGTTCGTGTTTAAAAGTTTTAAGAAAATTCATTAAAAGATGTCTGGACGCGGTAAAGGTGGTAAGTATCGTATTTAGCGTGTTAAAGTAAATTATTGAAAACTATAAAAACCGTTCTATGTACGTTTTTTCAGGAAAGGCTAAGGGAAAGGCGAAGACCCGCAGTAGTAGGGCAGGGCTGCAATTCCCTGTCGGAAGAATCCATCGTCTTTTGAGAAAAGGAAATTATGCAGAACGAGTTGGAGCTGGAGCTCCTGTATATTTGGCCGCTGTGATGGAATATTTGGCGGCTGAGGTACTCGAGTTAGCCGGGAACGCCGCAAGAGACAACAAGAAGACGAGGTTGGTGAAGGAAGCCCTTCTCTCTCTTTCTATCTCTTTCTCATTCACTTATACATACTCTATTTATCTATCTTTACTTTTGCTTCTCCATGATATTTTTTTCCTACATTATTATATAATATAATATATTTTATATCATTTATTTATATAAATTGTTGTCTTTAATTGATAATTTATAAATAATATATAATACATTAAATATATATACTTTTATTTTTATTTCAGGATAATTCCACGTCATTTGCAATTAGCTATTCGCAATGACGAGGAATTGAATAAATTACTCTCTGGTGTAACGATTGCTCAAGGTGGTGTCCTGCCTAACATTCAAGCAGTACTTTTGCCGAAGAAAACTGGTACTGGTGGATCTGGAAAAGGAGACAAAGCATCCCAGGAATATTAATAATCTTTAGAATAATATTTCTAACTTAACAATACTTTAGGGCTATACCTTTGTTTCTTGAGCTATTAAAAAAAAAAAAAAAATAAGAAGTAACCTTTGAAACCTATCAAATTACAATCACTATTCTATCAATATATATTGTGAATAATCTTGATTAGTGCAATCTACTATTTCATTACTAAATAATATTTTTTATTTAGCTTATGTAATAGTAAAGTGCATTTTTTTAAGATACATTTCTTTTTTGACTTATGCTTAAGATATATTATTTAATTATTGTCATTATTATATTCATTTTGTTTTGTTCCTTTTGATTATATATTAAATTCTTAGTGATATTTTATAAACTATGAATATAAAATGGAAACTGATGTATTAAATGTTTTTGTTGACTGTAAACAATATTTAGAGTGAAAATAAAATATCATTACTCTATATTTCTTTGAAATTCTGAATTTTTGAATTTATATTTATATATTATTATACTTATATTTTTTACATTTTTCTAAATTCTAAAAAATATATTTTTCAAATATATTAATTATATTTTCAAAATTTAGTTGTATGCGACTTCCGGTAAAGTGATTCCACCAGTGAGGTTTTACAACGTATAAAATTGCATAGGTAGCGCGTCGGTTGAACGTGACGTTAAGTTTTTGATTGCTTGAATGTTGAATACTATTTTATTGGTGAAAAATATTCGTTAAGCAATTCAAAAATATAAAATAAAATGTCGTCAAGTGATATAAATATGCTAGTCGATATGGGTTTCAGCGTATCTAAAGCGTAAGAATTTAAGGCAATTTTTTTTAATTAATATGTAATATAACCTTTATTATATTCATTTTTATTCTATCGCAGGGAAAAAGCTTTAGAAATTACTGGAAACAAAGGAGTTGTTCCGGCAATGGAATGGTACGAGAAAGGCCGTGACTTCATTCTCATCGTCTGATGACGATCTTAATTTTTATTTTAGGCTCTTGGCTCATTCAAATGATGCTGAACCATCATCTGAACCACCTATCACTGAAAGTACACCAGCGTCTAATCTGCAAACATCAGTTCAAGAAGACATTACCGATGCTAGTGATCAGGTGTCTACTACTGAAGTTGCTAAATCTATGAAATGTGATATGTAAATATATTAATGTTTTATATGAATTAATATTGATAACATAGTTATTTTAATTTTTTGTTCAATAGCTGTGGAAAATTGTTTAAATCTAATTTGGAAGTTGAATTCCATGCAACAAAGTCTGGTCACGATAGGTTCTCTGAAAGTACAGAAGAGAAAAAACCTCTTACGGATGAAGAAAAAAAAGAGCAATTACGAATATTAACAGAAAAATTAAAACAAAAAAATAAAGAGAGGGAAGAACAGGAAAAAAAAGATGCACAAGAAAGAGAAAAAAATAGGATAAAATCAGGAAAAGAAATGGCTCAAGCTAGAAGAAAGTAAGTTGAATTTGTTCTTCACATACATATATATATATATATATTCATTTATGCATTATATGCATATATATACTTATATGTATTTTAATATTATAGATTGGAAGAATTAGAAATGAAAAAATTGTTAGAAGAAAGGAAACGTGAAAAAGAAGAAGAAAAATTAGCACGACAAAGGGTTAAAGAACAAATTGAAGCTGATAAAGCTGCTAGACGTGCTAAAGCTAATGCTGAAAAAATAGTAACAGAATCTCTCTCAACACCTTCATCTTCCACTAATATTTATAGGAAAGAATATAATGATACAAAATTACAGGTTAATAATTTACATATTTATAAATATATAATTTTAATTGTAATGTTTGAACGATGTTGTATTATTTGATATTTTAGATTAGACTTACTAATGGACAAGTATTAACTCAAAATTTTGGAAGTAAGGAAAAGTTATCTGCTGTGAGATTATTTGTAGAACTTAATAGAACAGATACTCCTGGTCCATTTAATTTAATGACAAATTTTCCTAAGAAAATTTTTACAGAAGATGATTATGAAGCTCCTTTAAATGCATTAGGTATGCTATCGCAATTTTAAAATTTAATATTTATATTAATTATAATATATTAACATTAATTTTTTGGTTATTATGATTATAATTCTAGGCTTAACACCATCTGCAGTTTTAATTGTTCAAAAAAAAGTGGAATGATTAAAATGTCAATTATTACTTGCCATACAATTTGCAATATGCTTTTAAAGTAATATTTCATTGTAATTTCATTGTAAAATATTATACAAATTGTTTAGAAAAAGGAATCATTTTAAAACATCTCTTATTATTAAAACAATCTCTATTTGTAATTATTAATAAAAATAAAAAATATACATTTAAAAATATTAAATGTTTAAAATTTTTATTACATTTTTCGGATACAAAATAAATATTATATCAATTTTAAATTTTAAAATTACATATATTTTATATTTTATATTTTATGTTATATATATTTATAAAATAATACAAATATAAATATGAAATTCATTATTATATTATTATTTATTATTGTACTTGTATTATATGGTACTTTTTCGGGATAAATTATTCTTTCAGACTTACAATTTGTAGGATATTCATTAATTTCAGTACAATCGGTTAATTCTAATATTTTATTAAAACATATTCGTATCTCATATATATATGATTCTCCTGTATGCTAAAATAATTTTTATTATATTAAATTTAATTATTAAATATTGAATATTGAATATTGATGAACAAAATAAATTCTTATTTATTTACCTTATTTTCTTGACAAATTAATATTCCTCGTGTATTTAATTGTTGTTCAATAGCATTTAAAATTTCTGTTTTATTATATGTTTGTCCAGGAATAATATTCGCTTTTGTCAATACATTTTTCATATTGTAAGTTGATAATAATTCTAAACCTTTTGCAAAATATTTATTTTCAGTATTTAATTCTTTCAATACTATCGCGCAAGTGCCATGTTTATCCCATTCATGTTGCCAAAATGAATAAGAAGTTCTTCCTTTTTCTATGTCTATCCATTTTTCTTGTAATTTCTCTTTTAATGGTTCTAATGCGGTCGAATTGAATGGTAATTTATTACAGAATTGTGGACCAATTTTATGATATTGAGATGGCCAAATACCATGAATCGTCCACTCATCATGCTCTTTTGGTAACGAACACGTATTCGATGTTGACTTTTCTTTCCATGTGAAGCAAACAGTTTGAGGCCAATGTTGAGTAAAAATTAAAACATCGAAATCATTGTTTGATCTCGGTATTCGATTCCAATGGCTCTTACTGTTAAAACAATTTATATATATAAAAAATTCTCCGAAATGTATTGATTATTCGTTAATAATAAAAATAATAATATGAAAATATAATTTTATTTAAAAGGTAAACAAAATTCTAAAAAGTTATTATTAAATTTATCTTATATATTGTTTTAAATAATATAAAAATATTATCGAATATTATTAATAAATAAAACTCACCTATTCACTTTGCCAATAAAAAACAAAAATAAAATAATAGCAAATTTTTTGCAATTTAACATTTTTAATGCTTTTTATAAATAATTTAAGATTTATTATTTATTCAATTCCTTAAATATATCTTTATAATTATTTATTTCAATCAATTTCTGTATATATATATATATATAGTATTTGTAATATTGTAAAAATATTGAGAATTTTATCAAAACTATATAAGATAAAATATAATATATAAGATATCAATATAAGATAAAATAAAATAAAATGAATAAAATATAAAAGTTAATTGCATTTATCTTTCATTTTTTTGTCAATTATATTTTCTTTATCAATTATATTTTTATTATAATATTTATTTTATTTTTTAATTTTAATTTAATTCAAAGATGCACTAATTTAAATAAATTTTCTAAAAATAACGTTTTAAACACATTTTGCAAGCATATTATATGTATGATAATTTTAAGATATTTTATTTCTTAATTGTTATATATTTATAGAGAGTCTTAACAATATTATTTAACTTCTAATGAATTTCATGAAGCAAATTAAACTTTACTTAAGAAATAATGTATGTGCTTATATTAATTATAGGTTAAAGTGATATAGAAAAAATTATAAAAACACACATTACTGATTCTGAAATCATAAATCGAATATAATAAAAACTTAATATATCATAACACTTCTATTATTATTATATATATTATTATATATGTATATTTTTTTATTAACTCTTTTTTTTTTATTTAACTGTACTTATTAAATATCTAATGATCTAATCAATATTATATCTTGAACGTGTATACGTGTTCTATGTATATGTAGAATACATGTAAAGTTAAAAAATTAGAAATCTTTTATTGCAGATGTTATAGATTATATATTTATGCATATATATACAGATATAAAAAATGCTAATATATTCATGAGAGGATTTATATTTTTGGAAAATTAATTTTAAAGACCAAAATAAAAAACTTAATAAACATAAAAATGCTGATTGAGATTTCTTTATTAAAATACAAGCAATTTGCGAAACAGAGATAAAATGAGATAGCAGAAATAGAATAAGATAATTATATCTCTCTATTTCAATTCGTCCATGTAAATTCGTATCTTTTTATTTTATCAAGTCTATGTAATCACATTTTATCCCCATCTCTCCTAATGCAAAATTAAATTACTTATAATTTGAAAATATATTTTAATAGAATAAATTTTTATATACTAATTTTGTCCTATATGTATATATGTATATGTATATGTATATGTATGTATATATGTATATATATATATCTTATTACTTGATTACATTTCATATCATTTCAAAGAAATAGATTTTCTTCAAGAATTTTATATTATTATAATTTTTATTATATTCAGAGATAGATTGTAAAAAATCAATTATTCTCTTTTGCAAAATTAATATTTTGAAAAATAATAAATCTATTACAAAAAATAAAACTGTTAAGTTTAAAAGTTTTAATTAACAATGTTAAAATGGTTTTTTATTATCATTTTAATTAGAAAAAGTGTTTGGAACATTTTGTTCGGTTTAAGTCGTTGTCTGAGTAAATAATAAGTGAGAATTTGTAAAAACATGAAGATAATTATTAACGCAGTAAAATCAACCCAAAAAGCCACATGATCTATACCTAAAATGAGAATTAAAAAATTATATTTAAATAAGCACATATATATTAAAAATTTATAATTTTAAATACAGTAATGTTTCTCTAATTATCGTATATTTTATATTACTAATTATCACGCTCTTATCGCCAATTAGAATTACTTCGATACAACAAAGTAGCAAATATTAGTTTTATCTCCATTTCATTTGATCCAATTCATTTGAATTATAATCTGTATTTTATATTATTTTTAATTAGCAATGAATCATCAAAATAGAATATAGATAATATTTTTATATATTTCATTGTTGATTATAGGATTACAAGTTATTAGGATTAAATAATTAAATTAAATAATTAAATTATTAAAATTTTCCAATGAAAATTAATATTAAGTATCATATTTGAATTAATTTTGCATAGATAATATATAACGGATATTGACAATATTGAATCTTTCTCTTTATTTCACATTTGATATTTTTCATTTTTATTTTATATTTTAGATGATTTCAAAAAATAAATGAAACTGAAAAAAAATTTATCGAAAATTTCTATTTCTAATTATTTATTTTATTAATAATATAGACTTTGCGACAATTAGTAGAAACATTATTATAATTCCAATAGCTTACGCATTATTTGTAAAAGTTGTTGAGGTGTTCCAAATATACATAGCATTTCTGTAGCTGGACAATATAACTTTCCTCTATTGTAACCATATAAGGCACTTATAAGACCTTCTAAACCATAGCGAATATAGCTTAGATACATTATCAATTGTCGATAAAGAGGTAAAGTTTTTGTTTCGCCAATTCCTTGTACAGCAACCAACATTAAAGGGACAGAAATTGCAGGTCCGACAAATATGCCATTCTAAAAAATATATTAACATCAGAGCTTCTTAATATTATTATAATTAGTAAACATAACATGAATCCGTACCACGATGTTCAATATGCTGGCTATAGCTAATGCTATACTTTCTGCTATAAACGAGCATATTAAACCAGTACTATAAAACATAGCGCATCTAAAAAACTCCAGAGGTTGATCTGTTATTACATATACTATTGATAAATATATCGATGATACTATCATCTGCAATATTGATCAAAAAATTATTTAAATGATTTGTAAAATTAATATTTATAATCTTTAATAGAAATCAGTGTTTTAACCTGTGTAAGTATGTTGATTATGATCAACGCACAATAATAAGGACTCAAATCATACCACATATTAAAATATTCTCGTTTTATCAATTTCACTTCTTTGGGAACTATAAGTTTAAAAAAATATATATAAATAAATGAATGAAAAATTTAAATAAAAGTTAATAAGAACATAGAAGACAATCGAGGATATTATACGATTTAAATAGTTTTAACTAAAAATATTTTAATAACGTATTGAAAAAATAATAATTATAAAAATATAATTATATTAAATATCTTTATCTTTTTTTTTTATCAAATCTATTTTATCAAGAATCATTAATTCTCCTCTTATAATTGTTATTTTCTTACAATGCATTAATATCGGTAACATTGGTACATAAAGTAAAAATATTAAACAAGCTAAACAAAAACCAATGTTATATATGATTTTCGATCCGTCATTTCCAATATTTACAAATAAACCGCCGATAATGAAGCCAACGAATATATGTAAACATATTTTTAAATATATATAATCCTGAAAAAGATGAAAAGATTTTGTTAAATATCTCTTGTAAAAGTTTTTTTGATTTAACATTTTTTATTATTGAATATTTTTGCACCTTATTTCTACGTAACTGTAAAAACTTTCTTTTCGATAGAATGACAAATTGTTCAAACCAAGATATTTTTGATATTATCGCATTGATTTGAAATTCGAAACTCGTTTGTTGTTGAGAGATAGGAATAATAGGAAATTCTGTGTTTACAGCATTTACCATTCGATTTATCCATTCTGAACCATAATCACCCGCTGATACTTCTAACACTGTAACGATAATATAATATTTTTCAAACAATTTGTGAATTCAATTACGCAATTAAAAAGTTTTCTATTTACCAAAATCAGCAGGATTGTAATGCTGCGGACATTCGATACCAATTTGTCGCATGAATGGTACCAAGTTACGCGTAGTACTTCTATAAACACATTGCCCATTGGCAGTTAAAACATAAACATGATCGAATTTCGAGAAGATGCTTGCACTTGGAGTATGAAGGGAACAAATTACAGTTCTTCCTAACCGTACTAAAGATTTTAAAAGTTCGATACATTGCGCAGCAGATATTTGATCTAATCCTCTAAAATTGTCGATCGAATTATATATTTGATTATCAAATCATTTGTTTGAAATTTCTTATTCTTTGCTGCGAAATAAATTACTCACGTAGTTGGTTCGTCGAGAAATATAACTGGTGGATTATTTATGAGTTCTAAAGCTATCGAAAGTCTTTTTTTCTCGCCACCCGATAAATACTCGGTACTTGTGTGCCTCGCATGATGTAACCGTAAAATATTTAAAATTTCTTCTATCTAAAATTACGCAAATGCTTAATAATTGATCTAAGAGAATCTTATAATGTTAGATAAATATATAATATTTAGTCTATTCCAAAAAAAAAGATTTCTTTCATTTTAAAATCATATATATTCTTTTCAAATGTTCCTTAATTGTATAAACATGCAATAAAAACATATAAAAAATAATGTATACAATTTTAATTTTTAACCAAAGATTCTTCTTTCATTTTTTAGACATCGAATGAAAGAAATATTATTTTTTATTTCTATATTGTAAACATAATTATTATTTAAAATGCTTACAGTATTTAATTTCATTTTTTGAGAAATATTCTTGCCAAGTTTTAAGTCCGCAGCAAATTGCATTGTCTCTTGTATCGTGAGCCATGGTTGAAGAAGGTCTTCTTGCATGATATAACATGACGCTTTTTTAAAGTGTTCCACGTCTTGCTTTTGTCCATTGATATTTATTTGTCCTGTTACGCGGCCAATTGTTCTGTAAACGTTAGATTTGATTTGATAACGTTAGATTAGAATAACGAAATAATAAAATAAAATAAAAAAAAAAATTAAAAGAAATAAAAAGATTGTCAATCGTATTACATTACACATGAACTGCTAATCTATCGATCGAGACGACGTTAGGATTCATGTAAACTTTAACTTAAATTTTTTTGTTTGCTTGTATAATACATTATAAGATCAATGATTTTTGCATAAAATAATTTGGTTTTAATGCAATAAAAAATATGGGAAACAATAATGATAAACGAAAATGTATAATTATTAAATATATAATTATTAAATTTTTTTTTATTACAATTAGTTGATAAATTTTATACTAGTTTTATGAATTCTATACTAGTGTTTTGATCTGATGAAACATTACTTGTATCCCGCAAGGATATTTAATAAGGTGGATTTTCCGGCGCCTGAAGGGCCCAATATAGCCGTTAAATGTCCAGACTTGAATTGTCCACTAATTCCCTTTAATATCAT